CCTGTCTTTTCCTCTCTTCCTCTTTCTCTCTCTTTTCCTCTCTCTGTGTCTCTGTCTCACTCTCTTCCTTTCTCTCTCCCTCTCCCTTTTTCACTCTCTCTCTTCCTCTCTGTCTCACTCTCTTCCTCCCCTCTCCCTTTCTCTCTCTCTTCGTCTCTGTCTCACTCTCTCTCTTCCTCTCTCTGTCTCACTCTCTTCTTTTCCTCTCTCTCCTCTGTCTTTCCTCTCCTCCTCTCTCTTTTCCTGTCTGTCTCACTCTCTCTCTTTTCCTCTTTCTCTTCTTCTCTCTCTCACTCTCGCTCTTCCTCTTTCTCTCTCTTCCTCTTTCTCTTCTTCTCTTTCTTTCTCTCGCTCTTCCTCTGTCTTTCTCTCTCTTCCTCTCTTTCTCTTCTTTCTTTCTCTCGCTTCCTCTTCCCCTCCCTCTCTGTCTTCCTCTTTTCTTCTCCTGTCTTTTCCTTTGTCTCTCTCTCTCTTCCTCTCTGTCTCACTCTCTCTCTCTTCCTCTTTTCTTCTCTCTCTCCTCTGTCTTTTCCTCTTTTCCTCTGTCTTTACCTCTCTCTCTCAGTTTCAGGGACTTAGCTCTCTCCAGATTCTCCTCCTGTCTCTAACCCTAGGAGCAGTCGCTCCTTTCCAGTCTCCTTTGCTGTATCATTATTTATAGCCCACTCCTTAACTGTGTGTGGACCCCAGGGCTCCGTCCTGGGAATGCTCTCTCTTGGTGAACTCATCAGCGCCCGTGGGCATATTATCTCTGCACAGATGCCTCCAGACCTAGCTCTAGTCTGTGTCAACATTTCTTGTCCCATTTTCCCAAATGACTCTTCAATATTTTGACTGGATGTCGTAGAAGCATTTCAAATTCACCATGCTCAGAAGAGAACTCCTTAGATTTTCACAAAAATTGGCTCCATCTCTAAACTTCTCTGTCTCTATAAAGGCTACCAAGCTCCTTGTAGACATCCAGGTTTACAACATCAGAGCCATCCTTGACTCTTCCCCTCTCTCCACACACATAGCCAATCAATGGCCAAGCCTCATCTACGTGCGCAGACCTCCCTGCCTGTCCCTGCCCTACCCCAGTTGCTAATGCTTCCCATTTCCACCTGAATCACTTTGTATTTACTTGGTATATATTTTGTTTTCTCTCTCACACACACACAGACACACAGAGTCTTCCTAGATAAACTTTCAGCACCTTAAGGGTAGAGACTGCTAGCACTATTGTCACTATGTCCCTAGCACCTAGCACGATGTAGGAGGTCACGAAATGCTTGTAGATCAATGAATTGTGGGGCCTGGAGCAGCAAAATATTCAGAAACAGAGAGCCCTCACAGATCTGAACAACTTCCACTGATGGCTGGGGACGTGACTCATTTTTGAAGCCTTGAAAAATGAATTAGCCAAGCTTTCAAGTTGTTGCTCCACTAAGTCATGTACAGAGAAGCTAGTTAGCTTGGTACATCTCCAGGGATTATTCAAGGCTGATTAAAAAGTACCAAAATTAAATCAACAGGAGCCCCTATTAATACAACTACACACCTTTTACACAGCCCCTAGAATTAAGGCATATAGATGCTAAGTTCTTGGTGATTGAAGTTCAAAGGCAGCCGAAGACTGATTAGCATTAAGGCCTAATATTTTCTTAGCCCATATGAAACCACCTGTTAACTATAAAAAGGAGGTTTCCATTTGTTAAAGAACAGTGCCCTCTAGTGCTGGAAAAAGAACCAGACCCCGATTAACCATTTTAACCACCCAACACTATTTCCTTAAGCATATTAAAATTCAACATCTGATTTTCTGAAAAAGGTGAACTTTTGATCCTACAGCCAAAAGTCTGTTTGTCTGCACTCAAAATGGTACTTTTTAATTGATATATTTTATTTTGACAGACAGTTCCTAAACATTCAAACAATGCTTTCCCCTCTCCCCAAGTATATTCCCAATTACAACTCCTTAAAACTCAGGGGCATGATTGTGGTAGGTACGTATTCAGGGGTGGGGAACCTGCAGCCTTGAGGCCACATGTGGCCCTCTAGGTCCTCAAGTGCGGCCCTTTGATTGAGTCCAAACTTCCCAGAACAAATCCCCTTAATAAAAGGATTTGTTCTATAAAACTTGCTCTATAAAACTTGTACATGCCCTCAAACCTGCTGCTTTTTACTGTGGTCTTTGCTTTACAGTGACTGTTTTCGTCACTGCATATGCCATTCTTTGATTTGCATTTCTTCACTCTGTATCATGCAATCCAAGTTTTCCCACATTTCTCTGAATTCTTCATAACTGTCAGGCCTTACGATGCAAAAGCATTTCATTCCATTCATTTCCAGCATGTTTAGCCATTCATAAGTTGCTTGGTATATACCATATATCGTCAGTGTTTTGCAAGTACAAACCACAGTCCTGCTATTTTAGATAGTGCCTTACAGGTAGTATCTGAAACTAATCTGGAGAGAACCAAAAGGAAAAGCACACAAAACTGGCTAGATTGCCACTGCTCTGGGGAAATCACGGAAGGGCCTCACTATACAAAACTATGTAAATACTCTCATTCACCTACCCTGACCTCCTTCTAATGGCCCCGTGAGGCAGAAGAGGTTTAAGAGCCCAGTGTGAGGCATCATTGGTATAGGAGAAAGAGCACTAGTCTGGTATTTCAGAGATCTGGGTTCTAGACTCAATCTGGTCACTAACTAACTGGCTGGGTGTGCCTGGGCAAGGCGCTTAGGATCACAGGATTTACAATTAGAAGGGGTTGTAGGGATCATCTAATTTAAACCTCCCATTTTACTGAGGAAGAAATTGAAGCACAAAAGAAGTCAAAGGACTTGCTTAAAATCACAAAGGAAGTAGGAGAGCCAGGACCCAGAGCAGGTTCTCTGACATCCAAACCACAAATCTTTCCTTCATAGCCTGGAAAGAGGCTCTCTACAATCTGGGGGTACTGTCTCATTTGTTAAGTTAGAGTGCTGAGCTAAACGATCTCTCGGCCTCTTTCAACTCTTAAAAATCCCTCATTTCACAGTCTCAGGCTAATTATCTGACTTGCCCAAAGTCAACCACCTGCTGCAGGGCCATTACTAGAACCCAGGCCCTCTGGTCCCTGGTCCGGGGCTCTTTCCGCTCTGCTGTGCTGGCTCCTGAAAACCCCTGCCTTTTTTACATTTAATTCATTGCCTAATTCAATGACTAAGAACTGTGGAAAATACCAAACCAAAAGGAATTTAAGCCATAAGGAATCAGACAATGGAACTAGACCAAGCCAGAACATCCAAAGGGCAGCCAACTGGCACAGTAGATAGCGTGCCAGGCCTGGAATCGGGAAGACTCCTCTTCTTGAGTTCAAATCCAGCCTAAGATACTTCCTAGCTATGTGACCCTGAGCAAGTCACTTCACCCTGTTTGCCTTAGTTTCCTCGTCTGTAAAATGATCTGGAGAAGGAAATGGTTGAAACCACTCCAGTATCCCTGCCAAGAAAACCCCAAGTAGGGTCACAAAGCGCCAGACACGACTGAAAACAATTCAACAACAACAACGTCCTAAAAGGAATACCACTAAGCTTCAGGTATTTGGGATCTCATGCATCAAGAGGTTGCTCAAGGAAGCCTGAAACCAACTAATGAAGTGATTATTGTCAAGCAAAGCCAGGAAGGGAAAGTAGAAGAGAAAAGGGAGGTGATGGTGGTGGTGGGGCCAAAGAACCTTTCGACTTTTGGTTTTCAGTTGAAGGTCAATCAGAAATAAAGTTAAAACATTCCTGAATTTTGATGTGCAATTTTTCAGGATCACATCGATTTCATTAGACAAAACATCCTTGGTATTGTCCTGACAATAGTGTGGGAGATCCAAGAGAAGTGGAAGATAGAGGAGTCACTTCACCTCTCTGGGCTGGACCTCCTTGGGGCCTCAGTAGCTCAGGACGTAGGATCCAGTGATTTGCCTTGAAGGACAACGGGACCTAACAACGTCACCACAAGACAAGCCAGCTAGACTATAGGAGTTCAGAGGAGAATCGGATCATTGGGAATGATCAAGGAAAACTGTATGAAGGCGGACTTGAGAAGAAAATGGGAAAGGGGTGGGGGAAGATTTCAAGAGGCAGATGAACATAACAGCGAAATACCCCAGCAGCCATTTCAGTGGCCCTCCAATACAGGCCTCACACAATACTTGAAAGGAACAAATACCCCAAGGTATTATATATTCTGAACCAAGATCCTTGAAAGACCATTTGGACCAGTTTTGATAGCTATCGTTCCCAACCTTTGAAAATCACCCCTTTTTAACAGAGGGTACTATTGCTGAAGCAATAAATTATGAGGTAGTGAGGAGCATGAAAATGTTTTCAAGACATCACAAAGCAAGTAATCCAGGACTCCCTACGTGCTTTTACCTGAAGCAGAAAGTAGATGGAATAGGGCAGTAAGGCTGGATGATTAATTAGATTTAAACTCCTCTTATATTCCCGTATTTTAGTCTTTTCTAGGATCTGAGGATCTATGTAGAGATAGTGGTCTTTCTCAAAGGACGTGGATGTCCACAGGCAGTCCACCAAGGCGGTCACATATTCATTAAATTCTTGGTAGGTTTTGTTGAACTTCAGCCTTTCCTAAGGGGGCAGGGAAAAAAAATCCCATCAACCAGATTGTGATAATTAAGCTTTTGCCTCCCTTCCCACCCCACCTCTTTTGTCATCCTCCCCAGCTAGGACACCAGTTACTGACACCACTGGTTATCTGATGGCACCAGTCTACCCTCAGTACCTGGCGTATCAGTTCATTTTCCTTGGCCGCGGTCAGGTTGACACGATACCTAACAGGGACAACAGAAGGCAACAAAATTGGAAAAAGCAAATGCTGAGCGGTAACATGGACGAATACTAGCAATGGCATGCAGTCAACTGGATGGTGAACGCTTTACCTTCCTGCTATGAGATTACTACGCTATTTCTCTTCTGGAGGAATAAACATTAACGTAAGGTCAAAGGCAATGTGATGGCTGCCACGGACCCACTCTCTCTCCTTTGTTATGAGAGGAAAAGTGTGACCCTTCGGTAGAGAAGGGGAAACACAGAAGAAAAAGAGTGCCATCAGCCAGGGGGAACGTGACTCCCGGGTAGCTGAATGGGCACAGCCAGAGCTCAGTTTCGAATATCGAGTTATCCGGTGTTTGATTTTTTTTAAAAGAAAAATTTAAGTTTAAATGAAGAAACAGAAAGCTACTATAAATAATGCTGACCTCTCCCTTCCCCATATATCCCAAAATATTCAAAACAGTATTATTTGTGGTCGTAAAGAACTGGAAACAAAGCAGATGCCTATTGATTGGGGAACAGCTAAACCAAAGGTGATACATGAGTATCACATGGGGTAATGGAACAGTAGTGTACCGTCAGGAAAAGAAAAAAAAAACCAAGAACTCAGAGCAGCATGGGAATACTTTTAAGTTCTGATGCAGAGTGAAGTAAGTCAGAACCAGGAAAACAACATACACCGTGAAGTAGTGCAAATGGGAACAAAGCAAGCGAGCAAACAACCTAAATACTAGAATTCTAATGACCAAGCTTGTCTTCAAAGACTTGAGGAAATGTACCCCCACCACCTCCTCTTGGCTGAAGTGGACAACTGTGGGTTGGAATGGGAGGGGTTTTCTAAACTGCATTTTCCCTTTTTCTTTTTTCTTATTTGTTGCAAGGGATGGCTCACTAGGTGGGGCAGGGAGAAACTTCTATTCAGAAATGAAGGGGATGTAAAAACAAAAAATATCAAGAAAAATAAGATTAAAAAAGAATGATGAGTACATAAGTACTGCTCAGCAAAAAAGGACCCAACTTGTCAAGTTCTTCTGAGTGCACTGATTCATCCCAAAGCCAGCACTGACACTATCAAATGCCAGCAGCAGCAGCAGCATCCCAGACTGGACAACCAGGCCCCAGAGAACGCCCTTCTTTTTCCTGATTACAAAGACCCCGGCACAAAGCAAACAGAAATCGTGAATGGATTATCAACATTAAGATGGATTTGTACTTAGAATTTGGAAAAGGCCATGTACCTGTACATAATATAACAGAGATGGTTGAGGGCGATGGTGTCTGAGGTGAGTAGTGCTGGATAGAAGACCCCACGTGGAAACATCATCACTAACGGAAGGTTATAATTGAGATACATGTCAGACACCTTTAGGGAACAAAGATACCATCAGATATTCCTCTCTAGTTCTCAATCGAGTGTAACAAAAATAGCATCTGCATAAAATAAAATGTTTACTCATTATTTATTACAATATTACAAACAATTATTCCATTAGATCAGAAGTCAACCGCCTTCATAGGCAAAATAGGAAATTATAAACCTTCTCTCTCACCTAGTGACCTAAATTTCTACCTGACTGGTCAAGTGTTGGGCTAAGGAATTGTTCCCAGAAGGCAACGTCAAATTACCTGAGAGGCTAGTGAGGACAGGCGAGTGAGGGCAATGCTTTACTATTAACACATAATAACCTACTCTAGCACATGTTAACAGCTAGCTAATCTGACACATTAAAAAGCAAATGAGACACAAGACAAAAATTACTTGGGATGAAGAAAGGGAGTCCAGAAAAGGTTGGAAACATGTCAGTGCTGCCTGGGGGAAGACAAATGCTATTATGACAGCAAGGTGGGGAGAGATCCCATTGGGTGGGAGGGCTCTAAAGCAAGAACAGCTAAAACATGGAGAAGTTAGAATCGACATAAGGAGACAAGGGTCATCATCAAGTATATCCCAGATCTGCCTAAGGCCAATCCCGGAGCGAGAAAAGATTTTCATTTTCTTTTTTATTTCCATGATATTAAGCAATTCTTCAGAAGTATATGCCATCAAAAACTTCAACTGGTTTAAAATTATGTTCATATGAGCCACCACCACCTGGGACAACTGACTGCTGAGAAACATTTAAATAACAGACCATCAAAACGAGTGGACATCACGAAAAATGATCACCCAGAAGGGGATGCTTACCGTCTCAAAGAAATCCAAAATAAAGTGAAGCAAGAAACTACTGTTGCTCTCCAATCGCAGAGCAATTGTGGACAGCCATCCCACATAGGAGATCAGCTCACTCACAGAGTTCAGGGCAATCATGGGAGTGTCCCTATAATCAGAAAGCAAGCAATTCACAAGAATTCACAGCATTCCCAAAACTCTTTAACTTCCAAGCTGTTCTGTATAGAATGGAGCAAAAGTTAGTATGGGCATGTTTGCAAATCTTTCCTGTTGGTACTCCAGAGCTTGGTACTCCTATGGAGGTCAAACCTAAGGAGCACACTCCATGAAATACCTGCCCATCAGTTCCTAGGCCACATTCAGCTCCCAGGCTGGATGGCAAAGAAAGACAGGACCAGGCTCTAGATGGACAGGAACTCCCATCATCCTGGGCTAGTGACTGTGTGGAATCCTCCTATCTGTATAGCCCTGAGCACACAGTTGGTACTTGCTATGTGCTAAGCACTAATTACCAACATTCCTCAGTCAAGTAGACCATGGAATCGATAAGAGTGGATACAAAATGTCCAAGAAAGTAGCTCTGGACCCTAACCCAGGAAATGTGAGAAAAAGAAAACATAAGTATGTAGTATGATGGCACTAAAACACAGAATGGAATCTGAGATAGAGAAAGTGATTAAAATAAACCAGGACAAATACGAACTGTTTAATCCAAAAGAAAAGTTTAAAATAATTGAGAGTTTCTTTTCTCTACAACGACAGGCAGCATGCTGTGATAGACAGAGAATTGGTCTCAGAGTCAGAGAGGCTTAGGCTTGAGTCTCTCCCACCTTTGATACATAACTGCCTCTATGACCCCGGACAAGTCACCTAACTTCTCATTACAGTGCCCCCGAGTGATCCTCAAAGACTCAAAGTTGGGGACTAGTTGCTAATTTGCATTGGCAAACTTCCCAACACCAAAGAAATCATAGGCAGGTCCAGATGGCCACCATGGCCGCCAGGCCCCCCCTCCTGCAAGATGTGAACATTACAACATACTGACTGGCAGCTCGGAAGTACACAAATTTCCACGACAACAACAACAAAAGGAATGTCACTGTAATCTTCTCAGCTTGACTTCCTGAGTTACGAAGCTGTTAAAACCTTCACTCAAACTGACCTGGTTTTTTTTTGGCAGGCACTCCAACAGTGATTTCGTCTGGTCTTTGGCCTCTCTCTTCCTGCTGAGGAACGTTCTACATTCTTCTCAGTTTTTAAGACCAACGATGGCTATTCTTCCATTTACACTCAATTGGCTAAGACTAAATTTGAAGTTGGAAACAGCATGGTAAAGGGAAGTGGAGTTATCGGAAGGAGAGCCTTTGCAAAACCCCACAGTACCGAAGGCTTCCACACAGGTGCTAAGCGGTGCCAAATGAGTTCCAGATAGAAGGCTTTTTTGCAAAAAGCCAGACAATAGAGTGGGTATTTATCCACCAAGCCTCTCCTGTAGGTTCTGGCCTAGTGCCACTTACCTGACAGAAGAGAGACCTCAAAAAAGCCCAATTCCAAGGCCATATGGCCTTGAGTCCCTAAGTAGCAAGGAGTACTTAAATGATGACTTGCCCAGGACAGTCCCTCTGCAGGGAACGGGAAGGATGCTCAAAGGATGGCAGAAGACTCTGCGTTTGCGTCAGCATGGGGAACTCCCCATGTGGAAATTCCCTCTGCCAATTCAGTTTCCAAACTGTCTGTGAATTAATAGGTATGTGCCAAAGAGTTGCCCAAGGCACAGAGATCAAGTCATTTGCCCAGGATCATACAGCTAACTAGTAAATATCAGAAACATGAAGAGAACCCAGGTCTTCCTGACTCTGTCCACTATGCCAAGTTGCCTCTCTCACCTCTAAAATGGAGATCACAGGAGTGTTTATAAAACTGGCAGCACATACACGCCAAGAATTAATAGGAAATATTGGAAAAGTGGCTTGCACTTTGACCTTAGTGATTTAAGAGCTTTAAGAAGAATTCCTTTTCTTAACATTTAAAAGCGTTTCCAAATTTTTCTTCTGAAAGAAAATACGAAAAATGATTCTTCCATTTTTTGGAGCTCCTCAGCCCCAAAGCAAAGCGAAAGGAAGACCACAGGTGCACCGAGGAACTCTGGATGACATTTTTAAAGGGAACCTAAGTATTTAAATATCATTCCTTTATAAAAGGCACTCCCACCTATTAACTTTTCATGTTCCCACCCGGAAGTAGAGGAGAGGAGCAATGTGGAATAAAATAATGACTTCAAAAAAAGTTTAAGACAACAGTCCAGGCCATCTTCATAACCCACCGCCCTCCCCTAGCCAGGACCACCTAAAAGAGACCTTTGAATCTGGTTTGTGCTAAGGATGAACTAAGTAAGAAACATGGCTAAAAGGACAAAATGATTTCAGGTAAAAGCTTTTTTGGGCTGAAACAGGGAAAACCTTGAAAATTTAGGTTCTTCTATTACTTGAAGAATAAAGCATATCACAAGCAGTACTTTCTATTCCAAGAGAGCAAATTAAAGACGGTATTATCAAAATATTGCAGAAGAACAGCCAAAGTAGCTTAGAGGATCTTCTCTGACCATAACCGGAATCGTCTTTATTCACATTGGCCTAACCTTATTGAAATGAAGAGCTGTTACGAGCCGGTGTGACCCTAGTCTTTTAATTTGCTTGTTACAGAACTTAAACATCATTGAAGACTAAAAAGATGCACTGTTCCTTCATGTAATAAGAACAACAAAAGTAACTTACACTAAAGGACTGTAGGGCCAGACAGGAAACCGTCGGGGAAACATTTTATTTGCAGCAAATCTCTAAAGAGCTGGAAGTCTCAGGCCCCAGTCCTGGTTCGGGATAGGCAGGCCTCCCTCCCTCCCTCGGTCCCCATTATCCCTTCTGGTGGGTTGGGGAAAGACTTACGCAGAAGTGCTCCGCGTGGGCTTCACGCTGACCTCCATAGCATGCCACAACAGCCAGTTCTGCAGCAACTGTTTCAGGCTATACAGAACACTGCACTGAAGGAGGCAAAGGAAAGAAGCCATTACTCAAACTGCTCTGCTCTACTGTGCCACCTTGCCTGGACAGGCCAAGCACAACCATCAAGGACCTGAACATCCGAGGCAACCTCTCTCCCAAGGCAACACTATCCCGAGAAGATGCCATCAGCTGCTGCCCAAATACTTCCAGTGATGGGCGGAAGCTCCCAACTTCGAAGGAGAACCCTGTTTACTCAAGAGCTCTGGTTGTCAGAAATCTGTCTCTTTGTAACCCTGCCCCACTGGGCCCAGCTCTCCCTTCCACGGATTAATAATGTCCACTCCCTTTTCCCTTTGCTGCCACAAAGCTCTGAGGGCATCTATTGCTTCTTCCACGAGGTTCACTCTGATCTAGCCTGCTGCGCTCTCACTGTAATGACAGGCAACGCTACCCCAGGAAACACTTCTTTTCTCTTCACTCGTCCCATGGGGTTAGTTTTTCTCTCCAACTTGAACAAATTGTTTCTCTGCTCCCTGAAGGCAGTCTTATGCTTGTACATACATCGACAGTGCCTGGAACAGTGCCAGGCTACTCACGACCACTTGAACAGCCCTTTATGGTTTACAAGGTGCCATCCCATAACCACCCCATGAAGTAGACTTCGTGAAGGAATTTCAAATCAATATTCACAGAGAGTGGAGCCATTTGAGGATACAGTCTGCTGGGGTGAAACTCTCCCAACTCAGTAGCTGGCATGGTGAGAAGCCTCCGCACAGAGCTGGGCTGGCCACTGAACCACAGACATCCCATACATCACTGGGCACCTACTCCAGGTTTGGTCAGTTTAGTTGGGCCCTGCCACAGCCTGCACAACCTTGGGACCCAGGATCACCTCCATGCCGTAAAGAGGCTTTGGAGGATTCCAATGGAGGCATGAAAATTGTCTTCCCCATCTGATCAAGAAGGAAACAGAGGTTCTGAGATAAAGTGATTGACCAACAGTCACACAGCTGGCTGTCAGAGCGGCATTCAAACCTAGGTCCTCCGACTCCCAAGTCAGCGTCCTTTGGACAGCCCTATACTGCCTTCTCATGAACTCAGAAAGCAGTCAAGGAGTCAGAATTTCAGGGGTGGATTTCCCCCTTATAATCCAAATCGTAGCAATGAGAGAAAAATACCTACTTAGAAATTTCTAGATTGTTAAATAATCACTTCACGTGGGAGTCCATGCTATTATCTCACCTAGAAAATAAACCTTAGGAGTGAAGTGAAACTTGGCAACTCTCAGGTACAATTACAACCATACCGTTTCTTTATACGTGGCTATTTTGCAAGTGCCCAGACCTTAATTTATACTCACAAAGGGTCTCTGGGAGAGGCAGCTGGCATAGCGTAACACCCAACCTGGAGTCAGGAAAACCATGGGTCAGATCCTGCCTCTGACACTTCCAAGCTGTGTGACCAGGGACAAATCATTTAACCTCTGGTCCTCTGACAACTCCCTGGAACCTCCCTATTAAAGGCAGAGTAAGGTTGTGATCTGCTTTGGGGGAGGAGATTCCCACAATGTCAAAAACAACAACAAACCCCACCACTGATCCTTCTCGTATCCAATATCTATATACCGTGGAGAAATGTCATTCCTAAGAATTGTAACCACTTTATACATTTCCTGTTGCCAAAATTTTACCATCATCATCTAAAATGTAAACTTATCATAGGGATGGGCCCTACTTTTAGAGTGCTATTGTCACCAGGACTTTTAATGGTGAGATGATATTTCCACATAATCCACATATAAATTTCCATGGTTTTTCTGACTCCAGGCTGGGTGTTACGCTATGCCAGCTGCCTCTCCCAGAGACCCTTTGTGAGTAAAAATTAAGGTCTGGGCACTTGCAAAATAGCCACGTATAAAGAAACGGTATGGATGTAATTGTACCTGAGAGTTGCCAAGTTTCACTTCACTCCTAAGGTTTATTTTCTAGGTGAGATAATAGCATGGACTCCCACGTGAAGTGATTATTTAACAATCTAGAAATTTCTAAGTAGGTATTTTTCTCTCGTTGCTACGATTTGGATCATAAGGGGGAAATCCACCCCTGAAATTCTGACTCCTTGACTGCTTTCTGAGTTCATGAGAAGGCAGTATAGGGCTGTCCAAAGGACGCTGACTTGGGAGTCAGAGGACCTGGGTTTGAATGCCACTCTGACAGCCAGCTGTGTGACTGCTGGTCAATCACTTTATCTCAGAACCTCAGTTTCCTTCTTGATCAGATGGGGAAGACAATTTTCACGCCTCCACTGGAATCCTCCAAAGCCTATCTTTACGGCATGGAGGTGATCTTGGGTTCTCCAAGGTTATACAAGCTCTGGAGGGGGCTTACCTAATAAAAATATAATAATAGCTAGCATTTCAATGAATGCCACATTAATGCTACATCTATATGGCTAGTACAGCATCAGGCAGGACAGAGGATACATAGATGGCACAGGTCCCTCTCAGATACAATCAGATTATAACTGCTTTGGAAAAGCATTCCCAGATGTTGTTTAATGATGCCTAGAAAAGTAAGAGCCAATAAGTTTCCAATAAAGGTTGTCGGTGGGGATTTTTTTTTGGGGGGGGGGGGGGATATGGTTGTGTGGGAGGGGTTGTTTTGTAAAAGAAAAAGCCATGAATGATGTAACCTCAAAGAGACTTGGGAAAGGACAACGAGAAAAATATTTTTTGTTTATTTTCTGTGAATTTCTTTAGCTCTGGTATGTTCAGTGATTTTTAATTTAAGGTTTTTAATTTAGGATTATATTCTTTAATGGGTATATTGATTTGATTATTGATCTTTACTGAAGTGTCGCATCTCCCACTGCCCTCTGTCCTGCTTTTGTACTTACTTACCACAAGCATTTGGGATTAGCTGAGGAAGGTTTCCTTTCTCTCTGTGGGTCTCCAGTGCCCAGCAAAGGGCCAGCCCAGAGGAGGTGCTCAAGTATTGCTGGCTGATGGCTAGGCAGTTTTATTTGCTACATACACACACACACCCACACACACACATACACACATACACACATACACACGTGCACACACACATTCATGAGTAGCTAATCTCAGTCCTTCATGTTGCCACCTCAAAGACTGTCCAGTCTTGGGGCCCATGGAGTGCCAGAAATCCAAGTAACATATACATTCTACATGAGAATGGTTCTACAAAATTTAGCATGTGAATGTTTTCCAGAAGGTTTACTGAATGTCACTGCATAGGTCAGTGAGAAGAATATTCAGAGCTAAAGTTGTGATGTGAAAAAGTACAATCTTCAGAATGAAGCCTTAAGAAGACAAAGAATACTATGGGGAAACTGAGGCAATTAGAGAAAACACAAAAGGAGTCAGCTAAACAATAAAGAAGAAAGAGACTGTGTGGATTAGACCAGAATTACAGAGAAATACAAAATTCAGATTACAAATGAGTGAACGTGGAAATGTGATGAAGGTCACTGACCAGGCAACGAAAATGACAGGTATATGAATAAACTCCAAATCCAAGTTGAAGTGACAAGTACAAACAGAATCTCATTTCCTGTACGATACTAAGCCAACACTTCTGTTTTCTCTTCTGTGTTTCTAATAAAAAGTGACTGCAGATAAAAGAGGAAGGAGTCAAGTAGGCACACCATACTCAATGCTTTGGAAACAGGCATCATCTCTATTGTACGGTAGCCTGAGCTTAGAACCCCATGTGACTGGCAATAACCCAACGTAGAAAAGTTCATCATTTTACCTTATGATAGATGGATGATGTAAAGAAGAGCTGTGTCAGGGAGTCACAGAGAAGTGGCTTGATTTCTAAAGAAAAAGCATTCAAAGGGTTGGTCACCTTTCTGTAAATATCACTGGGCATTTCCTCAAAGGGGGTTCCCTGTTTTCTTGTTACATACCAGAGAAATTCCCCAGGGGAATCCAGCTGAGAAGCTGCAGGTATTCTGCTCGACAAGAGACGCCGTCCCACAAAGGCAGGCTCTTATACAGGAACGCCTCACTGGAAGGAAAGCCCTCCTGCATGCAACATAATCAAAGGTCAGAACCTCTTTGACCACAAACGCTAACTAGCCAGCAGTTTAAAAGGGAAAACCTGGAAAGAGCCGGAGGGAGCAAGGCAAAAGCAGGATTGGCACAGCCAGAAACGCTCCTCTTGAAGTAGACAGCTCTGCTTTATGAGAAAAAGAAAAAGCCACAGGTGGCTGAATTTCAGCTGGACTGGGCCAAGGCCAGGAAGGACGGCTTCACTCATTTGTTTAGTCATATCTGGTTAACACTACGAGTTTTATTCAGGATCCGACTCCTCATTTTGTATGTTTGCCTTTGTTTATGGTTAACTTTATGAGAAAACTTTTTTGGCAAAGAAATCCTGCCTTGCCTTTGTGGTGAGCTTGGCCCTATAATTACATGCCTAAAGACCAGCTTGCTCCCCTTCAACCTCGATGCCTCCCAGTGGGTGAATCCTGACAGCCCACCATCACCCTCTGCACCCATGGCGTCTCACCTCTCCTGGACGGCTTGAACCAGATAGCTGCTGAGGTCCCTGGCAACTCTGACATTCTGTGATCCTCTAATAAAAGACCTCCTGTGTTCAGCTCTACTGGCCCATGGGCTTTGTTTGGGGTAGCCCCTGGGGAACCCTGAAGGTGTTGTGAAAGCCTAAAAAGCCACAGCACATCACATTTCCCTAATTCAAATCAACCAGAAGTGGAAGAGGCTAGGCTGGGTTACCTCCAGCGAAAAGCCTCAACTAGAGAAGATTTTCAAACTAAATGTAATTTAGTACTTTCAAATCCCTGTATAGTAACTTCACCTGCAAACGAAATGTTCCCAAGTGTCCTCTATGCCCAGAATAGGTGCTCTGAGCCAAGCCAGAAGTCTCCAGCCCGTCACCACACCCCAACTTCTGGTGCCCCTCCACCTTGTATTTGCTTTATATTTAGATATGGCCACTGTTGCTTCCCCTTCCAAGAGAATGGAAGCTCCTTGAGGGTAGGGAAGGGAATAAATATGTAGACAGCACTCACTACATGCCGGGCACTGTGCTAAGCACTTTACAAGTATGATCTTGTTTCATCCTCACAACCACCCTGGGAGGTACATGCTTTTATGATCCCTATTTTACAGCTGAGGAAACTGAGACAGAAATCAGTGAAGTGACTTGCCCAAGGTTACATGGCTAGCAAGTATCTGAGGCCAGATTTGAACTCAGGTCTTCCTGACTCCACGTCCAATGTACTGTGGCATGCCCAGCTGCCCAGGGATAGAGTAGGGCTTGTTTCATTCTTTCTATTTGTGTTCTCAAAGCCCCAGGAAGAAAAAGATCAGGACAGTAACTAGGCTTTCCTGGATATAGAGAACTCCCTGGTGAAAAAAATCCCTCTTGCCAGTGCAAACACCCACTTTCTCTGCAATGTCAAGCCCTACAGAGTTGCCTGGAGTGTGGAGAAGTTAAGTGACTTGCCGAAGGTTACATGGCCACTAAGAGCCGGAGGCAGGCCTCAAACCTTCGACTTCCTGGCTCCAAGGGCACAATGCCACTTGGCTCAAAAACATTAAAAAACAAACCAAAAAAAAACACTTAAGTGTTTGCTGACTGAATGGTTGATTTTGCTTTTACAATTCCCTTACCAAATCCTTTTTGTTGTTATTTAGTTGTTTTCAGTCATGTCTAACTCTTTTGGGGTTTTCTTGGCAAGGATACTGGAGTGGTTTGCCATTTTCTTCTCCAGCTCATTTTACAGATGAGGAAACTGAGGCTAACAGGGTGAAGTGACTTGCCCAGGGTCAAAACAGCCAATAAGTGTCTGAGACTGGATTTGAACTCAGGAAGGTGAGTCTTCCCAACTCCAAGCCTGGCACTCTATTCACTACAGTGCCACCTAGCTGCCCTACCAAATCCCTACTTCATAGTATAGTAAAAAAGGCCAACTCTTGGAAAAAATCTTGTAATTAGACCCAGTCAAGGCGCAATTACAACAAATTACATTTTTGTAGGTTGAGTACATAGCTCCTTTTTTATTATTAAAAAACTTCAGTGCTTTAAAAAGAGAAAGTGCTACGGTGATGCTAAAGACATATATGATTCCTCTGCTGACAAACAAGTCTGTGTTAGTTACACAGAGAATTTTTAGTGTTTATTCTCATAGCATTGATCATTATTTTAATCCAAAGTATCTGAAAATAGGAAATGAAAATACCCATATACATTATACACAGCATTAGATTATGGTCTAGAATACAATCATCTGACATAAGAAAACTCTGTAGTAACAAATTACCCATGAATACAACATTTACTGTGTATAAAAAGGTGCCACAGAACTCAAAGAGTGGCCCGGAAACCCACTGAACACCTAGAAAAGCTGCAGCATTCCAGAAAGAAGTCAGTTCTCACCTGTAAAAAACACTGTGCGCTGATGATAATGTCCAGAAACTTCCTGAACTCTTCTTCAGATGTGTAATTACTGACCTTGCACCAAGTACATCCTAGAGCAGGAGATCACAAATGAGGCATCTGGTTACAGAAGGAAAGCTCCCCAAAGGAAAAGCTCAACTGCAAACACTCAATGCTCCAACATGCAAAGCCCGGGGTGGCGGGAATAGCGAGCATCATGGGCTCCTGTCTGGCACAGCTCAGCTGGCACCAGGCTTAGGGCTTCTCTTTAGAGCAGAAACTCCAGGGGATGGGCAGGTGTCAGGAAAGAAAAGCCAGTTGGGAGGCATGTCCTGCCTAGTTCCCTCTGTTCCAGGACTCCAGATTTTTTCTTTCTTACCTTCTTTTAACTCTTGACTCATCCAGTAATAAAGTCGCAGCCAGACAGTCTCATCTTGGATACAGTTCAGATAGTGTAGTAATGGAGCACTCTTGAGCACCGAGCACATCTGGGAGGGAAGCTGCAAGGAAAGTCCAGTGAAGTAACCACGGAGGTGTCCCAGGGCCAAGAGGACAGCCAAAGTGCTGGGCTGGGCAGGGCCTCGTCACTCACCTCAATGTTCTGGATGTTGTCCAAGAGCTGGGAGAACGTGTGGAGCTGCTCTAAAGGAAAGGATTTATGACCACTAAGCATCACGTCCAGGCTGGATGAGCCACCTTCCTTGTCCTGCTCTTCCTTGCTGATGTGACTGCTGGTGGGCACTGGGATAATGCAGCCAGAATTCCATTTCTGAACAGAAAGACAACTACCCATAATCCTTGCACTGAGTCTGATCAGCCCCAAACTTTAAACACAAAAACCAGGATGAAAGTGGCTCAGTTCAATGGTCTCATAGGTGGCTTTGATGAAATATCAGATAAACAATATTAGAAAAACCATTTAAATAAGCCTCATCATCCGAAGGGTTGGGTTGAGACTGGCTTAGAAAGAAGGCTCCATATCCCTTGGGTCACAGACGCTTACCTTTTTTCGGGGGTGGCTATAAGCTGTGCCAATAGTTAGTTTCACAGATGGTAATAGGGATTTATGATTTCTTTCCTTCACAATATAGACGGCTGCCTGCCAAATGCTATCTGTTGTCTTAAAGTAGAACTGTAAAGGGAAGAAGTCTGTTAGGTTTGTGGCCAACAAAGCTAGCAGGCAGAGCGGCACAGATCCTGCCCAAACTGAAATTTAATAATTATGACACTTCCTAAGCTCCCAGAAATCTACCAGAAGAGCCATTTTTTCCTGCCCCTATTTTCTATAACATATGTATTTTCCCCACTAAGTAACTGACTCTTCTCAACTCTATCTTACAAATTTGTAAATCTCCGAACACTTTTTAAAAAATACAGAATTTCAATACTATTAAAGTACATTTTGACCATTCTTGAATCCAAAGAACACAGATTTCAACCTCAGTACAGATACAGAGCATTCCCTTCATTCCTTACCTTCCTTTTTGGAGGCAAAGAAATGGTAATCAAGTTGGGGCAAAAGGATTTATACAATGACAACAAGGCCTGGAGATAAGGCTGCATCCCCTGCAATGCAATAAGACTTTTTAGTTCGGTGCCCAGTAAGAAAACCCAAAAAGGACGTCAGAAATAAGAGAAAACCCTGACATAAAATGGCCCCCGAGAGAGATGGCACAGCCAAGCAGGTGCTAACATTGCTACCCAGTTGAAGATGACAGAAGAAAGCAAAGAATGACCAACAGGAGGTTTACATAAACCCCTCCCAGCCAAGCCCAGAGCACACAACTTGTGGCACTGAGGTGACTGGTAATGGTATTTCAACCATGTCTAGTGCATAGACTTCTTTACTACAACCTTTCCTCCTCGTCTGCCTCCTTTTTCTGCCCATTCTCACCACCTATGCTTTTGGCCCAACAATTAGGAGGCTTCTTTATGACTAGCACCATCACGACCACCAGTTAGCTAGTCAATAAATATTTATTAAGTACCTACTATGTGCCAGGCACTGTGCCAAGTGCTGAGGAAACAAAAAGAGGCAAAAGACAGTCCCTGCTCTCAAGAAGCTGATGGTCTAATGGGGAAGACAACCAGCATATGTACAAAGAAGCTACTTACGGGATTAAACAGAAGACAATTAACAGAGGGAAGGCACTAGAATTAAGAGGGCTGGGAAAGGCTTCTCTTAGAACATGGGATTTTAGTTGGGACTTAAAGGAAGCCAAGGAAGTAAGGAAATGGACATGAGGATGGCCAGAGAAAATGCCCAGGGCTTGGATTGTTTGTGGAACAGTAGGGAGGTCAGTGTCACTGGATGGAGAAGTAACCTGGCAGGGAGTAAGAAGACTAAAGGCTGGTGGAGGAGGAGAGGGAGAAAGTTATGAAGGGCTTTGAAGGCCAAGCAGATTCTGTAATTGATTGTGGAGGCAATAGGAAACCACTGGAGTTTATTGATTGAGGGAAGGAGGGAGGGAGGGT